CAACTTTACATTTATATTTGTACATTTGCAATTCGAAATTTGTATTCGAAATCACAAGTTACGTTTACATATTGGAAGTAAGATTTATAGCGAATTCTTCCACTAAAATGTTACAACGTGTTATTAATGACAGGTGTGATAAATAATGAATACCGGACGCCATGATTAATAATTATAGAATTGTAATTGATGTTTTAGGGCGTGGAATGATAAATGGTTGCTACCAGCAGCATGGTGTATGAGGAGATAGCCGGTATACGGGGCAGCTGACCCCAGCCGCCGCGCACGCTTTTCACGCGCGAGATGCCCCACAATTTGAATTCCGCTTCCGTCAACTCCGCCGTCAACACGGGACCGAATCACCAGGTCTACACCCAACAACTTTATCACCGACAGAACGGAGATGGACTTCAGCCAGAGGTGTGTGAATATATCTCATCTAACAAAAGATAGAGATAAAGCTCAGGCTTCAAACAAATAAATGATGATAAAACTAAAGAAAGCATTATTTCCATCATATTCGCGTTTAGTACCAGTTGTAAGTAATTGTCACATCATTTTGAATAATGTTTTAGGGCAGGTGTGTCTGGCGCTGTATAAAGCAAAATTGGAACCATTGAATAAGAATTTTATTATTTGAATGGATGTTCATGAAGTTCCTTTTTAATATATTATATAATAATATGATATAATATATTAATAATATATTATAATAATATATAATATAATAATATATAATAATATATAATATATTAATAATAATATATAATATTATTACTATGTATTATTATATGGCCAATCAATTAAATTAATTGAATCATATAATAATACATAGTAATAATATTATGTAATAACATGTAATATATAATATAATATCGTTTATATAATATATAATATAGCTGTATAATATATGTGGAACGGATTGACATAAATTCCTCCAGTGAAATTCTGCAGAACTGCACGAAAATACCATTGTGTTGATGAACTGGTATCTCTTGTAAAGGACAAGTTGGGTGCTCTTGTTAAAATATTTTTTTCATTGATATAAATATATTTGTCTAATCAATGTATCGTTTCTCTATAAAAGTTGTTTTAATATCCTCATGAATAATATACATTGAACTGACATGTGAACTATGTACTCAACAAATCTTGGCAAATGAGGTCCAAAAGATCTAAAAGGTTGGACACCCATGTTTCAGAGTGTGAAGATTTTTTGACAAGTCTGTTGCATTTCTGTTACACGAAGGAACGAAGAAACATGGATGTTTAATTCGACGCTAATTACTCACTTCATTCGCACGCATCGCGCGTGGAAATGGTATAACGTTTCTGGAGCAGAAAAAAAAGTAGTTTTAGTAGACTCGAAAAAAGGCGTCTGAGTAACACTATTAAAAAAGAAAGAAGTAGTTAAATAACAATGAATTATTTAAACTTATGCTTATATTACTTAGTGTTGTATCAGTGTAATGTGTTACTTGTATAATATATTATATCGAATTACACACAGCTATATGTATTATATATTATATTGAAATCCTTGTCTGTGAACAGAAAGAGCCGGTGGAGTTCGACACGTCGCATCTGCGTGGTGCACCGGCCGAGGTCGAGGCACTGGTGCACAACATCAAAGAAGTTGCGCAACAGTTCCTCTATCACTGGAGAACATTCCCTATTGTCCTCCCGCCGCCATTATCCACATGTACAGAGGGCGAAGACACGCTGGCGAGGAAGAAACACCATTTGAAGGATCTGTTCGTCGCACCCAGCTTCGACGAGCTAGACTCAGTTGCCGTGGATAGCAAGGGTGAACCAAGGAGGTTGACCAAGAAGCAGCTGGAAAGCATCAGCAAAAGAGGGTGGGTCTTCTTGTGTGGCAACGATTCATATTTATTCAAATTATTTACCTTTATCATTTTAGGTAGTAGTAGTGTCAAATTCTTAAGCTCTCATGTTGAGGACGTCCTTAAACCTGCAGTTGAAATGCAACATATTGTATCTGCCCAGATTTGAAATTGACGTTACAAATCAAAGGACAATCCAACGCTGATGATTTAAGACTTGGATTCAAAACTTTGATTCTTGGAAAGGTGCAAAAAAGTGCGAGTTGCTTTGTGTTGAAATTTAGTTAGAAGATGTGTTGTGAATAGAAGAGTAAATGAAGAAAGATATATATATATATATGTATATATAATAGGAAGGATATATATATATATATATACATATGTATAAATAATAGGAAGTTTTATGAATTAATTTCAATGCTGTTAATTTGGACAGTACAGATCAAGATCTGAAATAAGATTAAATAGAATTTTTTATAATTAAATTTCAAAGGATCTTCGACGAATCTTGCCGCAACTTAAGGATTAATGACGTCTATACTTAAACTGAACTTATGCTTCACGGAACACGATATCGTAGCGATTGTACTCCTTAGAATTAGATGTTAGCGATTTTTTTGCGCACAGTATGAAAATCGCGGGTACCTACTAACAGATACTTACTTTTAAGGCTTGAATGAGACTTTCACTGATGCAGATTTGCTAGTTTTTTTTTCTAGGATAAGGAACATATACATACCAGATAGATAATTTCAGGGAATGTTTGTCAATTTTTAGGAAGCGTGTAACGTGTGAGTTCATTGGCGATGCAAATTGATGAAAATGAAACAGGAATTTGATAACTGAATTACCTTGCAAAATCTTTCAGAAAAACCTTATCTTTTAATTATTGAAACGTCGACGTCGACGTATTTATACATCATATCACGTGTTAAATAGAAAGAAAACAACATTCACAAATTCTCTTAATAATGTAAGAATGATGAACAAATGAAACTCCAAATGGTGCCTCGTTTTCACGAGGATGTGTAGAACCAAATTGTTCGTTTTATTTTGTGTGTCTGATATTTTCTAACAATTTTTGTAAAGCTTTCAGAAGGAGAAGTACGGAAAACCGAAGAAGCTGAATGCCACTCAATTGGAGAGCATTCGAAGATGCGGGTATGTCACACACCAGCGTCACACAATATTCAGATTTGACCGAACCGATAATCGTCACCTTGTACAGTGATTTTGGAGACTGGAATTCATTCATTTCTCATGATCATTTCTTTTTTCTTTTTCTTTTTCTTAACAAAAAGATTATGTCCCAAAGTCTGCAACAAATCATAAAACAGCATGGTTTCTTCATCTGACATTCAACCTGGCAACAAATTGGCAATTAATTGACAATCGATTAATTTATCATTCGTCAAGGGAGATTAAAATGTACAAAACGAGGCATTGCCAAGTGCACGAATTCACTGGAAAAAAAAAAAAAAAAA